GCATCATTTGAAGAGGAAATGAAAGTCAAAATGGGCATGCATGTTGATTATTTAAAATGGGAACCTTGAATGCATAATTTGGGGCATGCATGTGATTAATTTGTGAAATTGAGCTCCAATGTCTTGTAATTTGGTGTTGGTACCATGTTAGTACATGTATATATGATGTTTGAGCCATAGCATGCATGAAATGTTGGTTGAAAGTTGAATTGAAGCTCAAGAACACAACCTGGGAAAACCCAAAAATTTGATGTCCGCTCGAGTGGGGACACCGCCGCTTGAACGTGAATTTCGTGCTCCCAGCGTTTTTGCAGAGTTGGATGTCCACTCGAGCGGGGTATTTCATGCTCGAACGGGGGAGCTTTGTAGACAGGCCTTCCGCTTGAGCGGCCTAGTTCTCGCTCGAGCGTGATTTTGATGCAACTAGTACTTTTGCAGGCCTATTGGGTCCGCTCGAGCAGGGAATTCCATGCTCGAGCGGGGACCCTATTTTCTGCAATTTTGTATGCTCGTTCTGTGTTTCGTTTTCCGTTCTCTTTCACCTGCAAGCACTCTTAGGCATGCATTAAGCATTGTAAACGAGTTAAAGAGATAAGAATGAAGCCTAAAGAGGAATATGTGAATTAAGGAACGGATTGAAATGTTAGTGACTCTTTTGTATTCATGAAATGTGTAGGGTCGAGCTCCAAGGCATCCACAAGCCGATCACTGTGAGTAATATCTGAAATGTATTATTGTCCGATTGCTTACTTCTATGTAAGTTTTGTAAAGTTCATTAATCTGAATGAATGGACCAAAGGTCGTTTTGGCATAAATGAATGGACCAAAGGTCGTTTTGGCATGAATGAATGGATCGAAGGTCATTTTGACACAAATGAATGGACCGAAGGTCGTTTTGGCATAAATGAATGGACCAAAGGTCATTTTGACATGAATAAATGGACCAAAGGTCGTTTTGACATAAATGAATGGACCAAAGGTCGTTTTGGCATAAATGAATGGACCGAAGGTCATTTTGACCAAAGGTCGTTTTGACATAAATGAATGGACCAAAGGTCGTTTTGGCATGAATGAATGGACCAAAGGTCGTTTTGGCATGAATAAATGGACTGAAGGTCGTTTTGACACAAATGAATGGACCGAAGGTCGTTTTGGCATAAATGAATGGATCGAAGGTCGTTTTGACATGAATAAATGGATCGAGGGTCATTTTGACATGAATGAATGGGCCAGAGGCTGTTCTGTCATGAATGAAAGATAAATGGGCCAAAGGCCAGTATGTTTGAAATCTCAACCAATTGAATTAAATCGTATATATGTTAAATAGAAATATGAATTGGGCCCAAGGCCGTTTGGAGCATGTTGTTCTACATATTGTTTGTACAACTTCCGTATTTGATATTATTCACTGGGCTATCGTTCACGCTCATTCATGTGTTTGTAGGTGAGCCAAGAGAAGTCCAAACCCAACCCCAGTGAAGTCTGTGAGGAACAACAAAGGTTTTTAGAGAGTCAGCCCTTGTGTCTCACGCACGAGACCCGTCTTCGTCCTCCCGTTATGTATTTATATTTTGTCATATTGGCGAAGTTTTTGATTATGTCTGTATATAGTTCATGGGTTGACTTAGTTGGATGATCCTGTTTGTACAGAACCTTCTGGTACTATGTTTCGTTTGTGAGTTATTAACGTGCATACGTATGGTTTGTTTTGATGTGCATAAAAGCACGGCTCTATGGACAAAGTTTTAAATTTCTGCTTCCGTTTGGCCCCTTTACTCTGATGAGTTATGTCTGTTTTGGTTTCAGGCCGTAGGTAATCTCAAGATTACTGGTCGGTTATGTCCTTAACCCATAGGGGCGGGTTCGGGTCATGACAGTGAGACAGGTTAGTTTTACCCTACTGATGACAGTGTCGCAATAGTAATTCAACCTAGTACGAGAGGAATCGTTGATTTGCACAAGTGGTCATCGCGCTTGGTTGAAAAACCAGTGGCGCAAAGCTACCGTGCGCTGGATTATGGATGAACGCATCTAGGTTAGAATCCGGGCTAAAACTGACGCATACGCCCGCCACTCACTTGCCGACTCGCAGTAAGGGCCGTCCGTCCCCCAAAGGCACGTTTCGTTGGTGAAGCCAGCGCGGCGGATGAGCTATTGGGGCCGCCTTGAAGTATAATTCCTATCTTGAGCGGCGGGTAGAATCCTTTGCAGATGACTTAAATACACGACGGGGTATTGTAAGTGGCACAGTGGCCTTGCTGCCACGATCCACTGAGATTCAGCCTTGCGTCCCTCCGATTCGTCCCTCCCCCCACTTTGTCCCTTTGGAGACTGGTCAGCCGTGAGGTCCGAGAACATATAATGCAGCCCAAGTGCGCGCCTCGAGAGAAGAAAACGATGCACGTGCATAGTGAAACAAAATTCCTAAGGCCTAAGGGGATCGCTAACACTTTACGATGAGCTGTGCGACGGCCGTAGCCTTGGCCAGCAGGCTATGCCAATGCCTTGCCCAGTATGCCATGGCATAGTGTTGCTAAGCATGCCATGCCACAGCCTTGGCTAGCATGCCATGCCAACGCCTTGGCCAGCATGCCATGCCTTAGCATTCGCCAGCATGCCATGTGACCGGCTTCGCCAGCATGCTAGGCCACTGCCT